AGGTTCAGGTGAACAAACAATATCTTCCTCCTGTTTCATGCATTCTACTCTTCTTTAGGAGTATGTTAAAAAATTACTGTGTAATTCTGTGCTTGAAATTTCAAGAGTTGAAAATAAAAAAAATCTAAGCCCTAATGTCACCCCCGCCCCCCAAAAAACCAAAAAAAAAGAAGAAAAAAACCCAAGAAAGAAAACATAAGCATAGGGTCATTTAAATGGTGTATCATTTTATGCACAGATTCCAAAGTATATTTATAAGTGACTAATCTCCTGCCTTAATAAAAAACCCAACTTGAAGAATTCTTTTTGATACGGCAGGGAAAATCAAACTAAGAGAGTTCAAAGAGAAACTTGAAAGCATGCACATCTTAGATCATGGACAATCACAACACATTTTCTTGGAAATATACATTTAAGATCAATACAGACCTTTCCAAGCTGGTCAAATCCATCCAACTGATTGAGCAACTCCATGAGTGTTCTTTGGATTTCACGGTCTGCACTAGTTCCCTCACTAAAACGACGTCCACCAATTGCATCTATCTCATCCATGAATATGATGCAGGGCTACAAATAAAGATAATAAGTGTCAACATTTTAAGGCAACTCCGGAATCATTCGTCAAGTCGAACACTCCCAATATATGCAGCAAATCTATTTGAAGTCTTACTTGGTGATCACGAGCATAGTTAAACATTTCCCGAATTAATCTTGCACTCTCACCAATGTACTTATCAATAATGGCACTTGATACAACCTGCAGCAATCACCAATTGTAAAAGGCCACATAATGAGATGCTATTAGACTGGAGATATTACTAAAACTCTAGTACACAGACCTTTAAGAAATTGGCATCTATGTTGCTAGCGATTGCCCTGGCTAACAATGTCTTGCCTGTTCCAGGTGGCCCATAGAGAAGAACACCCTGAGACAAAAACCTCGGTCGCCTCAGAAGTGATATTACAAGCAAAAGCATTTCTGTCCATGCCGACAAATGTATAATAACGCGGAAAAATTATGTTGAATGATTTACCTTTGGAGGCTTAATCCCAACCCGGAGGAAAAGCTCAGGGTTCATTAGAGGTAACTCAATGGATTCTCTCAGCTCCCTGATCTGATCTGACAGTCCACCCACGGCAGAGTAACTGATGTTGCCAGGATCTTCATGAAGCATGTTGTATACAACAGGATCAACCTGCCATTAATTTCTCATCATAAGGTATTGGGGATGGACAAATGTAATAATTTTAAATGTAGGCCCAGACGTTTAACGCTTGCAAGCAAAATAGAACTACTAACTTCACGGGGGAGTGCCCGCATGATTGTAAGTGTTGTCATATCGAGAACCACTCGTGTGCCTGAAGTCAGTTTTTCCTTGTCAACTTTACTGCGACAGCCAACCACATACCTCGGACCGCTGCTAGCTTTTACTATCACTGAAAAGGTAATGGAAGATACTGATTAGTCCCATAGCTTCATGCTAGTTTCTTAGTAACTTATTTCATGTAAAAAAAAGGAAAATAAGCACTTTGTGATCAATAGTGCATTCCTTGGAGCAAGAAAGTAAATAAATATTAGTCAGGGTAAAGGGTACTTACAACGCTCATTATCTAGAGGTCGGAGCACTTCTCCTATGATCTGTCCAACACTCTGAAGTGACTTCAAATCATCTTCTGTTTTAGCATATTCCTTTTTGGTAGCCCGCAAGTTCTCTCTCACTGAGAAGAGTAACTTTATAATCAGTAATAGAAGATCAAGAAGACCAAGAATTAAGTTGCTTATTAGATTATGGAACACAACATAATAGAAGGAAGAAATAGCAAGGAACAACACTCAAGGGTGTGACCTAGTGGTCAACAAAGTGGGTTAAGAGCCATGAGGTTTCAAGTTCAAAACCGTCAAATCCTAGCAAAGACAAAAAAAAACACTAAGTGATTTCTTCTCATATGTCCTAGCTTTGGTGGACTAAGTTACCTGGCACCTGTTGCTGATGGTAGGTGGCAGGTATCCCGTGGAATTAGTCAAGCTGTGAAAAACAATAAAAAATCAAGGAACAGTCATGAAGTACTACAAAATGTATCACTAGCCCCGGATCACTAATAACAAAAAACTGATCCATATATCTCAATCTCTGATGTATAACTATCGAGGTTATACAAACTCCAAGAAACAAAGGCCAAAGTCGGAGAATATATTGGGCGAGCACATGCATACGCTCCCATTTCCAAATAAGAAGCTTTGGTTTATGAGGGTTCTATAGTAGGGATCTGTATCAGAATAGCTACACCACCCTTTCTGAACAAAAGGATAGATGATTTTATTAGATTAAAATACGTCAAAGCATGCTTAAATAGATCATCGGGCTATACTTGGTTGACTGATGAAGTATGACAACCCAACCCAGTCGCACTTGTACTTAGTGGAGTAGAAAGGCATAATAGTGAAGAAACAAAATCTAACAAATGGAAACACCAAACAAATTGGCATGATCTAGCGAATGGTTTCCCCCAAAAAGATCCCGTTAATTATCAGAAAAGGAATCTATTGTCCGACGAACAAGAATTCTAGACAACTACGAAAAGATATGAACATTTGTTAAATTCAATCTTTATGAATCATTCTTACAGTAGGCCACCTTTACATGTAGTTTAATGGACTTATTCACTTGCATTGTCTTGTCTTATTTGGTTTTTCACAATTTTTATCACCAAAAGCTTTGCCTAAAGATAAATACAGACTAATTACCCCTATGCTAATCATTTATGATCTACTTACCTGAAGCAAGTAAAAAGTGTAATCATTGGTCATTTGAATTGTTGGAAACTGGTAGCGTGATAGCATCCAAGGGAGCATGCATAGAAGATGACCTAGAAGGCTTGGAAATACTTTACAAATACTTTCATGTGCTAATGTTATTGGAAGATGACATGGTAGTCATACGAAGGACCAAAGAAACCAAAATTAGTGTTAAAGTGCATTAAACTTGAAACTATAGCACGTATTTGTGCCGCAGCACAAAATGTGTTGCACAAAGTAGAAAAGTTCGGTCAAGTGATTTGGGCCGGGGGGCAAAAATGGAGTGGGATGGTTCCTACTAGACCTTGAACTTCTAGTTTAAGGATATTTTGATCTTTTTCAGCATTCCCATTTGCTCATTATTATAAATACTTCTAATCATCCCACTGATTAGGATCTTAATTTTAGTTTTGGAGAAGTTGAATTATGAGAAGCTTAGCCTAAATTTAACCCTTCCAAAACACAATAAAAGTTGTGTGTCAATAATCCTGCATTATATTACAAACATTAAAAGTTGTGTGTCAATAATCAATATGTTTACTCTTTTGCCACAGAAAACACAATATCTAATCTTACCTACAATAAAAGGAACATCGAAAGAACAAAAACCCTAAGCATCGGAACTGAATTTCAATATTCGCGAATTTACAACATTTAGGAGCAAATAATAGTAATTGATGATAAGAAAAGTCCTAAGCATCGATAATGAATTTTAATATCCATGAAATTTACCACATTTAGGAGTAAATAATAGCAATTAGTGATATTAAACCTACAAAAAATATTTCAGCCACCGTAATCAATGTCAGAAAAAGAGAACTAGGGTTTAAGATTTCTGAGAACGGCACCTGTCCGAACCCGAGCATCAAGCTCCTTGTGCTGAAGGAGCTTTTTCCGATAATCGGCTAGTGCAGTACGGCGTCGGACGGCGTCTTCTTCGGTCGCCATGGCGCTTAAGCTCAAAGATCTGAACTGATTTCTGATATCCGAGTGACCTCTCGACTTGAGGACCAAGAAACGTATAGATCCCTGTTAAGAAAATACCAATTTATTTGCCGTTGTTTGTAAATATATAATCTTCTAATTATGCTATTCGTAAGGAAATAATACGGATCAGCTTTCTTGTTGGGCCGTGGGGTTGCGCAATTTTATTCAGGCCCAGTGCAGAGCCCAATAAAGGGGAAAGAACGAACTCATTTGCACTTTTGCTCTTATTTTGTCATCGTCTTTAATTTTCGCCCCTCAAGATGAATAATTTTTTGTGTGGGACATAAATTTATATTTTTTATTCATAATATTCTACAAGTTATGTCCGCTCGCCCACCATAAGATCAATTTCTAAATATTAAAATTAAAAATTAACTCATTTGAAAGATAAAACATGTTAAGAGAAGTGATCAAAAATAAAATTATAAAAAAGTTTCTCTGATTTATATATTTTATATTTTAAACTTATTTTTCAACACACGGGGTTTTGTTATCTCATATTGTCGATTTGGGAAAAAATAATCTTCTTTTATATTATGAAATAACTTAATTTTGCCCAAAAATAGAAAGAGAAGTGTAACATGATTTGCTTCGAATTTGAACTTTTGATTTACTAATAGAGTAATAGAAAATGCCGGAATCAAATGTGCTCATATTATATTCGGAATGATTAAGTTTTGCTCTCTATTAGACTTTTGTCCATTCAAACTCTTGTATGGAATAGTAAATTGTCTTGAATTTATATTTACTGTTAAAAGAGTTCTAACTTAAAATGAAGTAGGCCCTATATATCTTAAATTTCTTCATGAAGACCACTATTTTAGACTAAGATTCTCAATTGGAGCTCCATTATGGATCAAGGGTAAAAATAAGACTTTTGCAGTGAAATAAGATCCTATCGAAAATTTAATGCAGAGTGAAGTTGTTCAATTTATTTTATCATAATACATGAACATAATTGACCAATTTTACTATAATTTTGCGAACTTCTTTTCTTAGACGCTAATGAAAACGAACAACGGAGAGAAAAGACCGGCTGATTAAGCATTTCAACCACTAAAACATTGTAAAGCTTAAAGAAAAATAATTGCGCCAACGGTAACAGAAATTCGAAACCAAAGCCAAAAACCTCCACACCCCACAAATATGGCGATAATATTGGCAAAAATAGACTGATTTCAATTTCTTTTTTCTCTTTCATACCCCCTCCATAGTATTAGACATTTTTTTTTCTCAATTTTCATCCCCAAATCCTCGTCAGGAGGGGCTGGAGATGAAAAAAATGCCAAGAGGATCACCATCACCACCACCACCACCGTCTACAATAATGGCTAATATCCTCGTGGCGTTTGTTTGCCTCATTTTCATCGGCCCCTCGAGTGTAATTCCAGTTTCTGCACAATCAGATTCTACTGCACCTGCGAAATCTTTTCCAGCATTCACACCTTCAGATAACTACCTTATTAATTGTGGATCTACTTCTCCTACTACTCTTCCAGGAAATCGCGCATTTCAACCAGATGAAACCACAGCTAAATATTTAGCCTATAGCGGACGTGACCTTCACATTTCTGCACCTGACAATAAAAATGTACCTTCACCTATGTACCTTAGCGCGAATATTTTCGATAGTGAAGCTACTTATACATTTCATGTAACCAGTCCAGGCTTGCATTGGATCCGTCTTTATTTTTACCCTTTACAAAACAATGAATTTAATCTCCAAACAGCCAAATTCTCTGTTTCAGTGGATACATTAGTTCTCCTCCGAGACTACCAAATGGAGAAAAACGAACCAGTTATGAAAGAGTTTCTTGTAAATGTCACAACAGAGCGTTATGCCATCAAATTTGCACCTTCCCAAGGCTCAATTGCATTCGCCAACGCCATTGAGTTTGTTACTGCACCAGGCAAATTACTCGACTATTCTGTCCCTCTCCTTTTCCCCGTTTCACAGAAATTTGATCTTTCCACTAGTAATTTTGAAACAACCTATAGGCTTAATGTTGGAGGTGCATACCTTGATGCAACAAATGACACTTTAGGGAGAAGTTGGTTATCCGATGAACCATTCCGTAATAGTGCCACAGGACAGGCGGTTACTGTTCAGCCTTCTGTGATTCAGTATCCAACGGCAGGAGGGTCGCCTTTAATTGCTCCTCCTACAGTTTACAGTTCAGCAGTGAAAATGGCTGATTCAGAAACTACCATTCCCAATTTCAACATATCATGGATGATGGATATTGATTCCTCATATACATACCTCATTCGCCTTCACTTCTGTGATATCATTAGCAAATCGCTCAATGAACTGTATTTCAACGTGTACATTAATGATAAGATGGCAATTTCCGGGCTAGACTTGTCATCTTTGACACAGCGGTTGTCCACAGCTTTTTACAAGGACTTTGTAATAGATGCCTCTTCAGCATCTAATCCTCTTAGTGTAAAGGTTTCACCGGTGAACGATGTCCAAGGATTCAAGAATGCAATCCTGAATGGGCTTGAGGTTTTTCGGATGAATAATTCTATGGGTAGTCTTGATGGGCAATATGGTGTTGATGGAACGAAGAGTAGTGGCCCAAGCAAAACAGTGGCTTATGTTGGTTTTGCTATGATGTTCGGAGCATTTGTAGGATTGGGTGCTATAGTTTTCAAGTGGCAAAAGAGGCCTCAAGATTGGCAAAAAAGGAACAGTTTCTCCTCTTGGTTGCTTCCACTTCATGCTGGAGATACAAGCTTTATGGCGGGAAGCAAGGCTTCATTGTCGCGCAAGAGCCAATTTTTCTCTTCAAACATGGGGCTAGGCCGATATTTTTCATTTGCTGAGTTGTCAGACGCCACCAACAATTGGGAATCGACTGCCATAATTGGTGTTGGTGGCTTTGGCAATGTCTATTATGGAGAAATCGATGATGGAACAAAAGTAGCTGTCAAGAGAGGAAATCCACAATCTGAGCAAGGTATCAATGAGTTCCAGACTGAAATTCAGATGTTATCTAAGCTCAGACATCGCCATCTGGTGTCGTTGATTGGTTATTGTGATGAAAACACAGAGATGATACTGGTTTATGAGTTCATGCAAAATGGTCCTTTCAGAGATCATCTCTATGGCAAGAACTTTCCACCTTTGACATGGAAGCAGAGGCTAGAAATCTGCATTGGCTCAGCTCGTGGGCTTCATTACCTCCATACAGGTGCATCTACAGCAATTATCCACAGAGATGTCAAAACCACCAACATTCTTCTTGATGAGAACTTAGTCGCTAAAATGGCTGACTTTGGGCTGTCAAAAGATTGCCTTGCCAACGAGACTCACGTAAGTACAGCTGTGAAGGGAAGTTTTGGGTACCTCGATCCTGAGTACTTCCGTAAACAGCAGTTAACAGACAAGTCTGATGTGTATTCATTTGGAGTGGTACTTCTAGAGGCCTTGTGCGCTCGTCCTGCCATTAATCCATCACTTCCAAGAGAGCAAGTGAATTTAGCAGAATGGGGAATGCAATGGAAGAAAAAAGGTTTGTTGGACAAGATCATTGATCCTACTCTTGTGGGACAAATTAACCCAGAGTCAATGAAGAAATTTGGTGAAGCAGCAGAAAAGTGTTTGGCAGAATATGGTACTGATAGACCTAGCATGGGTGATGTGCTGTGGAACTTGGAATATGCTTTGCAGCTACAAGAAGCCTCATTACAAGGGAAGGCTGAAGAAGAAAACAAAGCATCTTCTTCCCCAGTCTCTCCTGCTATAGTTACCCCTACTCCTGCCCCCGTCCCTGCTCCTTCGACTCCTGACAACAGACCAGTTTCTACACCTGAGCAGACAAGAAATCCTGCTGAACTTCAAACAATTGACGATCATTCAGGAACAAAAATGTTTGATCAATTTGGTGCACTTAACGGGCGATGATAGCCATGATCACTTTGACGGAGATGATATTACAAAAATGTCAATTGGTATGTCCCAGGTGAATTATATGTATATGTAGTTGAAGCCAGCTCTTTTACTGATGACTTTTCTGCTGTTTTTGTTGGAGTTTTGCTTCCAAGAATGCGTTACAATAGCTAGAGGTTATCTTTTTGATTGTTTTGTATTCCTAACATTAAAATGCTGGATGTGTAGATGAAAAAAAAATTGCGTACTGAATAAAAACGTGTTATTGTATATATTATTAACTTCATAGTTTCTCTTGCACTCTCTGTGCATTTCACAGTTTTGATGGGTCTAATGCTCATTGAATGTGACTGTTTGCACTGAAAGGCTCTTGAGTAAATAAAATCACATTTTGCTACCATTTTCAGTTTGTTATTCAAGGTCTGTTGCAACTTTCTTGAGGCCATCAAATGGGGTTTTCTACTGCTAGTATAATTCATACAGCCAATATAAACATTAACATGCGAAGAGGAAAAAAGATGAAAAGGCAAGGCAGTCATGGCAGACTAACAGTAACTTAAGACAGGAGACACAATAGTAAGTCACCTGATTTGAGAGTACCATGTAAAATAGTGAGAATCACATTCTTTAGACGGTTATGTCTGTCAGGTTGGAATCAAGACAGCTCCAAGTCAGAAAATTAGAACTGGAGTCACTGAAGGCATCATGCCAGTATCAAAACTTTATAAAGTTTGCACCTAAAGAACAACTCATAAGTTAGGAAGTGGGCAAAGAATCAATGTTTCTCCCTATATTGTACAAAGTTAGACAGATGCACAGCTAAAATTAAGATGTAAGAAAAAGTTATTGCACCCTCTTTTTCTTGTTGGGGTCTGAATTTCCATCAACCATCACAATATCATTATGACTATCATCCTCTTCCACCTTCCGTTTAGTCAGCATTTCACCAGTGACACTGAATATCTCTGAATCGACAGCAACTGAAACATCAGCCGACTTTCTTTTCTTCCCAGCAGCAAGAATTTCAGGGTCTTTGAGAATAATTTCTATCTCATCATTATCCTCTGACTCCAGCGGAACTGTCTGAGATGCATTAGACGAGCTCGGGCCATTGTCCGATGTCTTGATCTTTTCTGCTGCAAGAGCTGGTGTCCATCCTGAGAGAACCATTCCATCAGGTTCTTTCTCTTCATCAAACTCCTCTCTGCAAAAAATTAATCATAAAACAGTTCAAATGAGGCTGTGGAGCAAAAGAATGGGAAAAGTAAATAATCTTCAGGATATTAGATCAATGGATGAAATAAACACAGTAAGCAAGTATTTGCCTACTGAATGCGCTCAATTATGTTCATTAGCAATGTAACAACACACCAAGACAAGTCCCCCAAAAGGAATACAGAAGGAAAGAGATCAAACCATCCACTACACACAACTTCCGAATGCATCACGTCTCATATTATGAAATGGGTGAGCTTCGGAAGCAAAATGAAAACATCAAAGCAGAAAATGGAACAAACAATTACACCAAAGCACCACCACATGACTTGGGCCATAGCACCAAGTTGGTGAAGAAGCATCTACCCTATGTATACATACGGAAAAAAAATTTGACAAATCCAGCAGTGATTAGCGCAATTTGCAACAAAAAATATCTAATCAAAGAAGTCACTGACGATAGCTTCCTAGAGTAATATTCTTCATGGCAATAATGGGAAATCTCTTTACAGGGAAAACCGAGATCACAAAATCCCTAAATAAGCTATGAACATGTCAATCAAAACTGAATCGAGTCAAGACGGAAATTCCAGCTTCCTTTCTAATATGTAAAGCTCATAGTAGAGTATATCATAATCTAGTGGATAGTGACATGTTAACGTATTTTTATTTAATAAGTGAATTAAAAATGTCAAAGGCCCATTCATTTGGTAGCATCTTGATAAAACATCTAACCTATTTCCCATTTTAATTATTAGTTTAACTTCACAACTAGACATACTGCCTTGACTGTATTCAATTAGATAAGAGGATATGTTTATAAAATATGGGGCAATGCCCATTATACAAGAAGTCTACCAAAAGAGATTTCCAGTATCAAGGTCCTATTTAAGAATTAGGAGGCCCAGCCATTTATATATCAATGAAATTGAACTTTTCTTAAAACATGAGTCCTGCCCAATCAATTATTGACCAGTAGTTAAGCTGTTAAGCTTGAATCACCTATTATGTCAAGTTTCACCAACAGCTTAACTTCTGAAAGATCATCAGCTAACTCTATTGCTAATACCAAATAACATTACGAAAAGTAGAAATCAAAGTGAAGGCAAATTGGAGGAAATACACTACAGTTCTCTTTCCTCCATTAAGCAAGATAAGTCTACAAACACATAATAAGAACAAGGAGGACCTGTGCTTAATATTGATGCTGCACTTAAGCTCTTGCTGAAGATCCTCAACTGTGAGAATTGTGCCACCAGTAACCGGAGAAGGAAGCTCAGATAGAACCTAAGGGTTTTGTATTCACACAGACAAGTGTCTTATCAGCCAATAACAATAAAGTTACTTCACATATGTACAAAGACATGACAGTGTCTTACCTTGTCAAGGTTTGCTGCATAATTTGCAACCTCATCTTCCTCAAGATCATCGCCCACCTCATAAAGAAGTGCCACCCCATGCATGATCAATGGGAGGCTCATGCCAAGTTTTGCTTTGACAATCTTCTCAACAAAATCCCTCAACTTCGAACGATGAGTATTAATCTCAAGCGTTAAAGGTGTCTGTTCATTGATTTGCATTCAATCAAAAAGTAGTGGCTAAAATAAAATTCCATAAGGTAGCACAGGCGGGAACACAATCTATTGTACATTACAGTAGATCATACCTCGGAACAAACATAACAAGACTTGTTTGGCTCGAAGGGCTCCACTGGCATGAGAAGCATCTTTCTCGAGGGATGTTCAAGGCAATAAGTCATCCTGCAAGGAAGTGCACATGATATTATAAAACAGTACCAAACAAAATGACATAGTCCTCATTGTTTCATGTACCACACTTCTATACAGCACAAGAAGTTCTCAAAGCTCAACTACTTGATAGATTAGTTTAGATAGGAATTTTGTTTTTATTTTGTTAGCCAATAACATAAAGTAAAAGAAGGGTTAAGTAAACTCTTTGGAGAAACATTAGGTAAAATCCATTTTTGACAACTCCTTGCAGTAAATGGTAAGTTGTTTTTCTTAAAAATGGTAACAGATAAATGGTAAGTTGTTTCCCAAGTATTTTGATAGTTTTCCTTCTTTTAGCTTTTACAAGGCATTGAAAGGTTGCTAAGTTTTACTTTTTCTGAATGGGAAGGGGGGAAGGTTGGCATAAGGAAAAATAGGATGGCATGCATTGAACGACACTTCAAAAAGGTGCCTTTTAAATTTTCTACAGTTTTACCATTTGCTAAAAAATGCAATTAGTTTTATTTAGTTAGTATATTTTAGCAAATGCTATTAGTTATTTTTTAACATGGCATTCAGGCCAGCTGGTGCACACCTCAACTATTCTATTTGTACATGCTACCTTCCATCAACACAATACTTTGCTCACCAAGGCTAAGACAGGCGGAGAGAAATCACTTGATGTGGTTTGTCTCTATTAGGATGAATCTTAGTCTCCAAAGTTTGCACTGACTCCATTGACCATTATGTCACATCCTTTAGTGCAAAAAATCTATTAGATATTAATTTGATTTGGTGCACTATTTTCCATAGTGATTAATCAAGTATATGATTAATTAACAAATCCTCAATCACAAATTAGTTGGGATCCACTATATGAATCCTCTATATGCAAGCACTATTTGGGGCCATTTCATTCCATCCAAATTTTTCAAAACTATAGATTCTCTACTTCTCAGACTTATCTCTACATTGGCATAAGTGACAATAAACAGTTTTCACCAATCACGTTGCATTCATGTACTTCAATTAATATTTCTAGTACTATATACAAATTGTTCTTGAAACCCCCTTTCATCATTAAATTTAGAAAGAAAACTACATTACTATTTCATACTACCTCAGTTTCACAAAGAATGACCTAGTTTGACTTGGCACGGAGTTTAAGAAAATAAAGAAGACTTTTGAATCTTGTGGTCCTAAATTAAAGTTATGTCAAATGTACAAAATTGTCTTTTAATCTTGTGGTCTTAAACATGCCACGTGGAAAGCTGAAATTAAAATGTTACCAAAAAAAAGAAAGAGGTCATTCTTTTTTAAACAAACTAAAAAGGAAAGGAGGTCATTCTTTTTGAAACGGAAGGAGTATTTCAGTTACAACTTAAAATTGTTTTTCACTTTCCTATCAGTTCTGCATCAAAGAGACCAAGTTCCAATTTCTAGAAAGATGTTTTGATAGATTATTAAGAATTAATAAATTATGGTTCAAGACCTCGAAAATACTTAAAAAAGAAATACTCTTTTTCACAGCTTAAAGCCTTAAAACTTTTAGCTTGGTACTCATAGATCATGCAGAAGTCCTAAGTCGAGTCTCACCACTGGTTAACAAAAATATCTCCATACCAAACAGAAAAATCATGATCACATTAGCAGACATGTTGCGAACATAAAATAGATAATAGAAGTGTCATCATTCCTTTCTAACAGTTTAAACTTTTTTATTAGATTGTCACTCACTTCAGTAATCCTAATTAGTACTTATTAAACCACTGAATTTATTGCTTCCCTGAATGATTAATTGTTGGAGAGTTGATTAAATTGTTTTTCACTTGATCTCTATCAGATGAAAAAGCTGCACTTCCACAAATTTAATCAAAAATAAAAAGGAAAATGCAGTGGGAAGTGGGAAGTGGGAAGTGGGAAAAGAGGACTGGAAGCATTGTCGAGATCGCTTTTATAAAAAGCATGTGGAGATCACTCACAGCTGGCAAGAGTATCTGATATCTTGGTCATTTTAACTGATCTCCAAAATATAATTATCTGCGTAGAAATAAAGAGAACTGCAGTTAAAGCAGAGATAATGGAACCAACCATACCTGTAGCTTTTTACATCATTTTGCAACACCTTGATTGCCTCAAGCACAATCAAGCCTGCAATGATGGCATTTGTTGTTGCAACGGCATGAACGATATTGCCAGCAATACCTTTAGCTTCAAAAAGGCTATGTAACGGAATCCCAAAAGAAGCGGCACGAATGTTTGCTGCAGAAGTGACAAACTCTACAGCCAACTGGTCGTC